ATGGAGGCACTCAGCTCAGATCTGACACTCTGAGATACAGTGGCAAAGTGCTGTCAGATTCACTGGCATGAAGATGGTGGAAGCCTACATAGAATTGGTTGGTATAGCAGTGTTTGAAACAGAAGATGATCAGAGGATTTAAAATGATGCATAAAAAGTATCCATTAACCATAGTCAATAGAGGAAATAGATAACTTTCCTATGAGATAATTACTTTTCCAATTCGTCAATTTTCCAACGGAATAGTTGAAAAGAACAGTCTTATATTTGGAGACTTATGTATTTGAGGCAGGGAGAAAGAGGTGAGGAGGTGGTAGTTAGAATATAACATAATTAACATAATTAACCCTTGGTTCAACTGATAAGCCAAACATTTCAGAGTAAACATTGGATACAATTTCCCAAGACAGCCCTGGGAGAAGGTAATTTTTAGGGGGAAGACCATATCTAAGGAGCCCCTTACACTTTATACTCTGAAAATTGAAAGGCATCTAATTCCTAGATGTTTAGAACTTTAATATTATTGCCTTAAGACATTATCAGTAAAATAAATTTAGTTATGTAGTCTTTAACTAAACAAAAGAAAACTTCATGGGACATTATTAAACTATATTTTAGCCTGAGTTTTTTCCATATATTAATTTATTAACTGACATTATATTTTCATTGAAACTCTCTTCTGTGCTGTTAATTCAAATCAACATATTTGATATTGAGCAGTCTGTGTCAATTTCATTTCTGAGCAACTCTTCAGCTTGGAGGAAAGTAATAATCAACTCCTACCAAGAGGAAAAATTAAATAAATAAAAAGAAAAACAAAACCAAATAGTAATCCCCAATGCCTCTGTGCTGTTAATTCAAATCAACATATTTGATATTGAGCAGTCTGTGTCAATTTCATTTCTGAGCAACTCTTCAGCCTGGAGGAAAGTAATAATCAACTCCTACCAAGAGGAAAAATTAAATAAATAAAAAGAAAAACAAAACCAAATAGTAATCCCCAATGCCTCAGTTTTCATAATTAGTATAAACAAAAACATGTTCAATCTGCTCTCAAGTGTAAATAACACCCACAGCATATTCACAGCTCACAAATGCAATTTGTGAAATAATTTCACAATGATAAAAGAAGAAAACAATTTTATCACTTTTTATATTTCAAAAATAATAATTTACTACAACTTTAAGAAAGGCAATTCAGA